GCAAGGCCCTAGCGCTCTTGTCGGGTGATTTCCGTGCACGGGAGTGCCACATCTGTGATTGTCCTCTAGGGTCTATCACAGAACAAAGGGAATCGTTCACATGACTTCGGCCTGGGTTGTGCCTTTATCGATGAAAAGGTCTGTGCTGATCAATCTTTTGAGATGCGCCACGCATTCAACCTCCCATTAAAACTTGTTGATTCAAAAATTGAGTTTAAAATTTGAAACAAAATTTCTACCCCGAAAAGGGGTCGATAAATAAAAGACTGCCGATGTTACTCTTGTAAAGATTAAAATTGTAAATTGCCAATTAGTGAAATTCTTAAATTTCCAGTGGCTTACTTTGCAAAATATTACTATGGAGCTAAAAATAAATAAGTCTCTAAATAAATAAATAATAAATAAATAATAAAAAATAAAATCACCATCCTACTAACTATAAAGCGCTTCGTCTGTCGTCTGTCGTCTGTCGTCTGTCGTCTGTCGTCTGTCTGTGTGTCTGTCACGAAATTCCCTAGCTCCTCGGGATCCGCCTGGAGGGACCGGGTCAAGTGTGGGATGGGTGGGCAAGGTCTCACGTAATACAAAACACACATCAGCTAAGCGGAGCCCCGCCCACAGGGCGTGGCGTGCGTCGAAATGAATTGTACCGAAGACCAAGATTTCGATTTCAGTGAAAACACCTCGAAACTGGGCCAAAAAGTGGGTAAGGTGTGCATTGGTAAGTCACATCAAATAGGGAGACCCACCCCCGGTGGGCGGGGCGTTCTCCAAAAAAGCAGTGCTTTGTGAAAAATTTCAAAACTCGGTTGGGAGGAAAACTACAGAGCAGAAAACAAAATGATGCAGGAGAGCAATGTCTAAGGTGTGCCCAGCATACACGAAGTTTACGGAGGCCCGCCCACAGTGGGCGGAGCGTGCTCTGAAGTGAACAGCATTTTCTACGAGTCCTCATAATTCGGGCCGGAGACGTCTTAGTGAGCCGGAAAAAGGTGGATAGAGTTGGGTGGAGGAGTGGAGGCTAACAGCCATTCAATGGGCGGAGCAAGACCAAAGTGGGCGGAGTTTGCGGCGAAAATTCATAACTCGGTTCCAGAAGGTCCCGGAGAGTGGGAAAAAAGAAGATATAGTTGGGTGGGGAAGTGGAGGTCAAGGCCAATGGTAGGCGGGGCTTGGCCAAAGTGGGCGGAGTTTGCGACGAAAATTCATAACTCGGCTCCAAGAAGTCCAGGAGGCTGGGAAAAAGGGAGTAGAGGTCGGCGAAGGAAAGGAGGTCAAATGCTATTAGTGGGTAGAGCACGCACCTAAGTGGGCGGAGTTTGCCAAAAGTGTCGCAATTCGGTTGCAAGAGGTCCTAGAGATAGGGGAAAACGGGGTTAGAGGTTGGTGAGGGAAAAGAGCTCAACTGCTATTAGTGGGTAGAGCACGCACCTAAGTGGGCGGAGTTTGCCAAAAGTGTCGTAATTTGGTTCCAAGAGGTCCCAGAGACCGGTGAAAAAGGGGGTAGAGGTCGGCGAAAAAAGAAGGGAGCCAAATGCTATTGGTGGGCAGGGCACGCACCGAAGTAGACGGAGTTCGCCACGAGATTTATTGTCCGGGCCGAGGACCGAGAAAAAGAGGATAATGGTTGACGAAGAAAGAGCGCATAGAATTTAGCGGAGAATTCAGATATTCGTATTGTATCAAGCCAAATTTGAAATTTTCGTCGCACCATCAAAATTCGCGCGCACAGATCTGTGTTGCGCGCGCAATGCGTGCGGCGCCAACTGGTAATATATAAAATAAATAAATAAATAAATAAATAAATATAAGCTAAATTAAAAAACTCATGAAGCTCGGTTTGTTCAGAATAAGTCAACAATGAAGGGGAGAGTGCATATAAAACCGAGCGGTAGAGAGTCAAACAGCCCCAACACCCGAAAGAGGAAAGTAGCCGACACTTTGGCAGCTGACGGAAATGTGGGCAACTGTCCACTCCTCTCCATTCCCATCGAACGAAGAAATCAGGCGCTATCTACAAGATACGGGGCATTGAGTTGTGCTCAACCGCACTCAGAACCACTTGAAAAACAATCTCCTTATTGAAAAAAAAAAAAACCGGGAGCTAAGGCCTTAGGCGAGAGAAGAGGGAATCCAGTGGCGTGAGCGGTTGGGTCGATTCCGCTAGCCAATAGGTTCCTGGCAAGACCCTCATTAGTGCTTAGTCCAAGAGTTCCGTCAAGTTGATGTTCGCCGAGGAAAACACCGCTCTTCAAAATTCTTGTTGCCCTAATTCTGACAAAAAAAGCTCAAACCCTAAGGGTGATATTTTATTTGCTTTGGCACTTTCTGCCTGCTCTTTTTATCCGCCACGAACAGAACATTAATTGAATGTACTTCAAACTCGTATTTTAAATATAAAAATGCATTTTAAAAGCACCATCAAGCCTACCGCAAATCTATTTTAAAACCAAGCATGACGTCAAATTCATATTTACCGTTTCCGTGGCCCTTTTTCGCCGAGGAAACGCGTCATCGTAGATTTGCGCCCGAAATAGCGCAGAAAACACTTAACATTTCCCTTTGCAGCTGCGGAGAGGCTTAATAAATTGAGAAGGTGGGGGGGGGGAAAGGGGGAGGGCGAATTTTTGAACATTTCAAGCAAGTCGAGGAATAAACAACATAAATAATACAAGAAACAGTAAATAGAATATCTGCGCATCTTCAATGAATAACTTTTCTGCACCGAAACGAGCGTAGTTTCATGGCATGTAAACAAATAAATAAACAGATAATTAAAAATAAGTAAGTAGTAAATAAGCAGATAATTAAGTTGAACATCAACAAAAAAGTAGTTCAAACAAAATCACTTGGAAAGAGAATGAAATCGTCCTGTCCATTCTAAATTTTCCTCCATAGAAAGCTTCTAGAGGAAGAAATGAGAAGGGAAGACTATAATTGGGCCAGAAATAGCGACAGGAATTTGCCGCGTGCGAAACTGGTGAAACGGTAGCGATGCGCATCCCCGCATCGTGACAAACCCTGATCCAATCGGGACATGCAGGGTTTGGTTGGCCCGGGCAAAAGCAGGGTTTGGTTGGCCCGGGCAAAACTTTCTCAAGTCAATGTAATGGAGCGATGCAACATATTTGGCAACTGCGCTATTTCCATCCGATATTTGATAGTAAATCAGAAAGCTGATCAAAAATTGTAAATGGGAGGATAAGCAAAACAAAACATCACTTAGCAACCAGGGGAATTTGGACTTCTATTACTGCAAATATGTAGTAGCTAGAGAAAAAACCTGTATTAGGTCAACGGGAAGGTTTATGGTGATTGGTGTGAGCCAATTAGTTCCACATGAAGCCTCACGGGCTGGTCATTCTAGTGAAACTCTGAGGGTTTTTCTAAAGGAACAAGACGGTCGGTACTGGTCAATCCCCTAAGGATGCGCCACGAGCTTGTTTTCCATCTGAAATCGCTGGGCTTTTGACACGTGTTTGGCCCATGTAATGGATTGTAAGAACCATGAGGACTGCAACCTCACCCCTGTGGTTTCATCATCGGCTCCACGCCAACCACCACCTCCACATCCCAGAGTTGAAGCTGGTTGCCCGGACAGAAGTAAATAACAAAACAGCAACGCAGGATTCGATCACCGCGACCGCGCCCGTGGGACAGCGCAGCTGCCACTACAGCCTTCGCCCTAATACGAACCAATTATTTTAAAACTGCTCAAGTTACTCTCCCCCCCCGCGCTCGCGCATAACCGTCCATCCGCGTATCAAACCACATCGTACTTGTAGGAACTCCGGCGCGAGAGGAGAGCCTGCAATAAAACTACATCCAACATTTATCCAACATACGCTCCCGAAATGCGCCCGTGGTTTTTTCGCAAGAATCCCAGCAGCCTATCGAATGCGACGATTTGCTATCTCCTTACGATGAAATAACTAGTTCTTAGATGGACTAGCAAGATCCAGAGTCACTGTTTATCCTGCTACACCCAAGTCCGGTGCCAAGTAAGTAACAGCCCAGAGGATACAGGTTCAGCCCTGAACATCACGAACCAAGATTTAAAGGAATCTCCACGGAAAAGCTCCGCCCTCATTACCACAGAAAACGATCACTTAAAGGAGGAATTCACGATTAGAATGAAGGTCGAAGAAAGGGAAACTGACCTAGTTGAGGGACCCACGGACCTCCTGAGGGTGCGAACTGACGCGCAATTCGCATGGAAAAATTTGACCTCGGCGACCTATCATGCCTCAAAGCTGGCGGGTCCGGCGATCTCCGCCCACCGATCATCTGATCACTCGCCGTAGTTCAATACGTGGCGAGTGATTAGATAGCTGAGAGAGCGTAGTGTTGAAGAGGGCACAGCGATGAGAGTCGCATCAATGCTCGAATCAACGGGCAAGGAAGGGGTCCCATTTCTCGGGTTCTGGGCCGTTTCTCATGGTTCTTCCTTCTTTCGTGTACCACTCACCATCTAGGTTATATTGAAATCGGTTGCTTTTCAAACTCAAGGTGGAATTCCCTTAAAGGAATCTTCCACGGAAAGAGTGATCATTTTAGTATTATCGAAACTAACGCTTATGTTCCGTTCTTTTTGCTATGCTCATGAGGCTAGGGGCCTAAGGTATCGTTTTTCTGTGGTAATGGAGGCGGAGCTTTTTCCGTGGAAGATTCCTTCTAATGCTTCAGGTAATGCGCGTGGTAAGCAGCGCCACCTGCCACCACACCACTTGTGCCCCTCACAAGAGAAGCTGGAGAGAAAATGGAGACATCGCCGTGGTGGATTGGCGCCTCCAGGAAACGCCACAAAATTGTCCTGCGTCACATGTTGCGAATGAAACCCTACTAGTAGCGGGAATCAAAAGTAAGAAAAGAGTGAACTCCATTTGAGAGCGAGCTGCGCGTAATTAGTTTGCGTCCAAGCAATCAAAAAGAATAATTCAATCGCATCAATTGAATAGTAATCCACTCTTAAGACAGAACTAATAAAAAGACTCACCTATTGTCGGCAACCAACACACTGTATACATCACAACGATTGAAATGAGCATTTGAACAATCTAAATGCGAGAAATACGGTAGAAGTACGGTAGAAATACGGCCATTGATTTTTTGATGCCACTACTGTGTTCAGTACCAAAAAAATAAATCGCACCTGTTTCTTGTTTGCTTCAGCTACTCTGGCAGATTTATGCTTTGTATAGGCATTTATAGTCGAGGTAGCAGTTCGAAGCTCTCGACTGGTGGAAATCATCGGTATGGTACTGTAGCCGGAAAAATGAACAGCGTCAGTCGCTGCTTTGCTGAACGCTACCCTGAAACGAGTGAGTGTTTGAGTAGGGTTGTCGGTTGCTGAAAGGTGCCGGTGCATCGCCCACGGGACTGCTGGAGCCTCTTCTTCCCTCATAATAGAATGCTGATAGTCAGTTCAAAATGTGATACTCCATGAAACATGGGGACTCGACTGGGCCGTCGCGAGAAGGCAGAGATGCAGAGGAGTCACCGGACGAGTTGCAGCGCGTGATGGGTGGTGTGGGACGTGCTATGACACGTTATGTCTAACTTCAGTCGAAACCACTGCAGAGCGCGCTACAACTCGTCCGCTGAATTCGTCGCGTCTCTGCTTTTCTCGCAGCGGCGACCAGGCTATATGCTGATCTGGCACCCATGAATCGGAAGATAGCTCCCTTTAGAATTATTTAACAGAGGGGCGTGGTTTGAAACGCTTGTGCACAGAACGTATTCTAGCATTCCAAAAGATCAGATCCGTTTTAACCTTTTCCTTGCTTTTTTTTTCGATGGTTCGTTGAAGGGGTAAACAGAGCAAACAACGCGCAACTTTCTATGGAGCCAAAATTTGGGATACGAGCCCTTCCCCCCTCCCGTTCTCTTCGCGCCTATGACGGTTGATGGCGACGAAGAGTGGTCCGGACATCTGCCTTACATTTGACGATGCAGACGAGTGCGGAGAGGAATAGACCTTCGTTCTCTCCCCCTACACATTCGCACCTACGACGATTTATATGTCAGTAGTGCTCGGACTACTGCTGACACATCAATCGCCGAACCTGGTTAATCCTGACACACTTCCAACTCCGCCTCTTAAATCCCAAAGTGCCTCGAACGGAGAGGGAGGGTGTGGTGAAAAGGGAGGATTTCCCACCATTTTTGCTTGATTTTGTGGTGCACATATGTGAACGTACTGAATTATGAGGAAGATAGGGGTACTGTACTGCCCGTGGACGATGTCTTTAAGGGCTGAGACGCACATTGCTTGTGATAGAGCTAGACGACTTTTCGATGATGTATAGACGATGACAGATACCCGTGCATAGCAGATCGACATCGTCACCACGGGGAACACGATCAGGAGCAACATCTGAAATTTCTCATCAAATTTCAAAAATTCCCCTCAGGACCAGTCAATTTGGAGAAATACCTGATATACCGCATAGATTCGATTCAGCTTTATTCGAGAATACCCGAGAAACCCGTTGGGGAATCTGAAACATAAAAAGTAGATTGGCTATGTTGGATACTTGGGTGGCTTCACGGCTTCCTAGGCCATAATCCTGATGTAATCCCGAGATGGCAAAGCTGTCTATTCAAGGGCTTTCCACCCTTCGATCGAGCAGGAATGACACCATTAGGTGGATTAGAGGATTAATTGAGAGAGCACGACTACCTTCTTCTACACCAATGTACTCGATGGCCTGAGAGGGATATGTTCGTCTCGTAATCGATCCGGATTGCTGTCGGAATCGCCAGAATCGCTGACAGCAGCCATATGAGCAAGATAACCTGAAATTGCAGAATTGGCATGGAAAAATACGCACTTTTGCAGACGACATTGCAAACCTTTTTTGCTCGGCCAATTGACGACAACCACATATTTCTCATTGGATATGCAATAGCGATGAATCTGTAATTACCTCGATAAAAGGCAAAAGATAAATGCTCGGCGTTGATTAATTTGTTTCTGATAGGCTAGGTACTTCATCTTCGTCCCCAGTCATAGCGACATTTGGCGCCTGTGTGATAAGTAGCATTTCTAGCCTTTGTGCCTCCGCCTTAATCCTATGATAGATCGGCAGGTACATAGACAGAACCCACTATTTCCACTCAACGCTACGACACTATACAACAACAGCATGCTTATTGAGCGGGACCTAAAGTCACAGGACACCGTTATTTTCAACTGCGATTTTTCCAAAATATTATGTATCACGAGACATAAGTCCACCAGGAATTCAGTATATGTTCGCATAAGAGGGTCCCATTGTTGTGAAAAAGCATCTCCTGAGGGGATCAAAATGAGCTCTCGTTTGAGCTCCCCACATCAATGTCAACGACTCCTAATCGATGCGATGAACTTGCAGATTTTCCATTTTGCATTTAGTTCGACTGAAGGATATTACTGCGCAATGATTCGGTACCGCTGCTATATAAGTAAAATAAATATAGCTTATATGTTATAAGAGGTGCCGAGGAAAAAAAACCAAGGAAAGCACTTAAAACAAACAAAACGGGACCCTGGTTTTTCCTAATGATTTAGTCGTTGAGCTCACTGTTGCTGACGTCTTCAACGTGAACGCTCCGCTCTACGTCTCTGCTAAAACAGTTAGAATTCGACGGCAAGAGACCAAAGCGATGCGGTAAGCAACTGTAGAGAGCTGGGATGAGCTGCGAAGGAATTCTACACCGCGTAATGTTATTAAGCAACTAGGGGTGATCATGCTTTGCTGTAAGCCCTCCCGTCGTATTAACACATTCACGACGACGCCCCTTTTCCACTTTTCGGTCGCGTGGGACGAACGCGATTTTGTGGGCGCCGCCGCCTCACCACATAACCGCAGATTTTGTTTTGTAAAAAAACAAAAACATGAATGTCACAAAATAATTTCTGCAATGTTCAATGCGCAAGATTATTTAAACTTGACAAATAGTGGTTACGAAAACAGAGCATTTATTCACTTTCCGCGTTAAGGAATTTAAAAGCACTTTGCACTTGATCGCGAGGTTCGCCCACCTATCTGTCCATTACTAGCGCCTGGTAAGCGATTATCAGTTGGCAGCCCATATGGGCCGCAATCCGCCCTAGTAGCGCAAATGTTGGCATCATATGGGCGGCACATCGGCGTGAATGTGATTAAGAGGACTAAACTCCCTCTATAGTAGAAATTCGGCCCGCAAGTTGCAGATGATACACTAGGTGGAAATAATTAGAAGCATGAAGAAAATTCTCTTTGCGCTAAATAGAGGCTGAACCTCGACGAGAGGTCCAAGGGCCAGTGAGGCACTTTTATCATTCCCTCGAAGTTCCTGCCCATATCCTAAGAAAATAGTTCCGAGTAATCTCCCATTATAAGTGCAGACTGCACCCAAACTTCCTCCTTCTAGACTTTAATGTTCTACATTTCAATTTTCATGGCCGCAATTATTGTGCGCTATAGAACGTGGGCCATTTTTCGTTAGCTATATAGATAGTTTGTGAGACATAGAAAGAATACGGGGATATGAGCTCTTCAAAAAAAACCACCTTTCAAATGAGATCATCGTCATGGTGAGCACTGAGCAGAAACAGGTGAACTGTTGGATATAATGCACTGAATAACAGGCAAATCGTCCCATAAACCACGTGTGAGACATGTATTTGACGAACTGAAATGTGGATTTAAAGACGTGAACTAGGGATGCTTGTGTGAAGCTGCGGCAGCAATCAGTGAGTTAATTGAGCATTGATTTGGAAAGACGTTGAGATGTGTGTACAACATCAGTTCGACTGAGGGCCTGGCTACAAACCAATGACGACATCAGTTAGGACCACTCCACCACATCGTAATTCACTGCCTTTAGACGAAAAATAATTAAGTGAACAATAATTGTTCCTACCATGATTGGTACACAAAACCAAATCAGGCACAAATCGGCTGTGCTCAATGAGGCCAGAAAGACGTTCGTCACGTTTCGCATTCGCTTAAAGCGATTCACCACGAAAATCACCTTAAGCAGAAGATTTTAGAATTTTCCCCTTAGTATTTAAGAGGATAGCTTGGGAATAAGCTCAGCTAATTTCGGAAATTTGAAATTATCACTATTTTCAGATTATAACAGTGTTCGGCCTATTCGTAAACAACATCGTACCATGGCATTACCGACGGTCCCGACGAGAAAAACAATGAGGTAGAGAACAGCAGGTAGTGCAGCTTCGAAAAGCTCCTCTTCCGTGAGGCCAAAGAGTAATGTGTTTGGAGAGTTGAAACAGCTGCTCACACACACCTAAACAACAAAGCGCTTCATTTGGGGACCTTAGGGGTTTTATAAAGGGCACTACAACTTTGTGTTTTTTTGTGGAATCCCGCATAGACAACTCCTTCATTGACAATGATTGGATTGGCTTCATTAGGCCTGCTGCTCACATGAGTCCACCACGTGGGTGGATCCATTGATGCTGTCGTGGAGTGCTGGCGGTTTCATTCCCATAATGGCAAACAGGGGGAAGAAAATCAGCCTTCAGAGCTAAAACCCGGAAATCACGTGCCTCAAGGAATTTGTGAAGTGGATGAGAGCAATTGCATTGAGCAGCGGTCATATTTTCCCAGTCAAAACCCTCGTCATAGTCATATTCGAAGGCTCTCTCTTCGACCATGTAGCAGGTGGCATCTTCCTCGTTATCCATTGCCTGCAAAAAGTCCAATTATAAGCCCTTGGGCATGAAAAGACCAAAAAAGGAGATATTGTCGTCATCATGAATATGTATGTAACAGCAGCAGTAGCGGCTATATGAAGGTGTAAATGTGTGGCAATCGAAAAGACGAGGGGACTTCATGATGTGATCGGCGAGGCAAACAGCTAATGTGATGGAATAAACGACTTTGCGATGCTAATGTGTGTTAGCTGTATGTCATCCAGCGCGCGAGAACAGAGTGAGAGCAGCAGCAGTTCAGGAGAGGACAGGGTGCCCATATCTGCCAGTCACTACCTGCCAGCGTAAGCCGCCTATCGTGGACTTTCCAGAGGTAGCACAACCCAACGGGTGAGCTGAATATTGGAGACCCTTGGGTTATTTGACCTGCCTAACAAGGCTATTTTTAGGACCACTATCTCCAGCTAAGGCCCCACGGCT